TTTTGGCATATATAAAAGATATTACAAATCTACCTTATCCATCTGTTAATCATCTTATAATTACATCACAAACATTACATTAAAATATTTTGATTATATATTAAATATATAGTTGCTATTTGTCAGTAATATGTCTATTATATTTTTCAAAATCGATAGGTTTCTGTAAAGCCGTCTTTGGAGGAAACGGTATAGTACAGATTTTTACTTCACAACACTTTCAAAATAATCCATATACAGTATACGAAATAATTAAAGTTTTGATAATCGGTCTGTTTTCACAAATTACAAAATTTTAAAAACCCATAAATTACTTTATTAGGATATATATTATCTATTAAAATATTTACACAATCGTGAGGAATCTTATTGACGAATTTGACTAACTCATTCTAAGTATTCAAATACATTTACTAAATCAGACTTTGCATTGGTTATTCCAGGAAAATACAAGAACCTGCTTGCATAAGACTAAATCTGAATTAATTAGGAAATTTTACTAATAAAATGAATAAAATGTATTTCATTTTTCACATTTTATTCACATGTTTTACACATTACCATCAGTTTTTTTTATTTGTGTGGCAACAATATGAAAGGTAATCGCAAATGTAAGAAATCCACACCTAATGTATTCAGCTATTATGCTAGATAAAATTTTTCCAATATTCGATTGATTTGTAAAGAAATAAAATAATTATCAGGAACCACCCAAACTTTTTTTTGAATTTGTTTTGGTGACACGTTCGTTATTACCATGCCCATTGACTGACTATTTAGCCCTCTCCCTCAAGTATGGATTGTCTATATGAGGTTTAAGGATTTTCATGCTTACTAAATCTTTAATTTTTTTTTTGTTGATCGTGGGAATGTTTCGAGTGTAACTATACTATGGATAAAACAGTCAACAATAACAAAATATACAGTATTTATTTATGACTTCATTTTATAACTCCCTTGCTTTTCTTCTAACTGTTGGGATTTTACCTCTTCCGGTTTTTGTTCGCTAAAAGTATCGGTTCAGCCTTTTAACTCTTCTTTTTTCTCTTCATAATTTCGATTCCCTAGTCAGTCGAGTTGATTTACGTCATAATTTTATATACCGAATATGAATGAAAAAAAGAGCATCATCCTTTTTGGACTCACTGGGCAAGGAAAGTCCTCAATTGCAAACATGATGATTCAAGGTGATATTTATCATGAAGGCAATGTGTTCGAAATTAATGATGGTGCTGTTGGTGCGAATATTTCGATACAACGCAGTGATAATGATAAATTTATAGTTTACGATACGATAAGATTAGGTGAAGCATGTTCTGGAAACTTTTCGCATAAGGAGGCTGTCAAAATGATAAGAGAATATTTTACTACTTGTCAATTGCCGTTAAATTACATAGCTTTCGTTAAAAAGAAAGGCAGATTTACCGAAGAAGATCGTAAAATGTTTAATTTATTTAAAGAGATTTTTGAGGGAAATGAGAAAAATTTTATTATAATTATTACTAATAGTAATCCGAATTGGGTCGAAAAGAACTCAGAATCATTAAAGAAAAATTTTAGAGAAGATTATCAGATTATTTCGGTCGATTTTCCTTTTAACGAAGATGATGATGCAGTCATTCAGCGAAAAAAAAGAGCACAGAGTTTGCAATATTTAACTGATAAACTTTTAAGTTTAAAATACGAGGGTATTAAACTTCAGGTTCGTAGCCCGATTCAGTCGACAGAAAACAATATAGCTCAAGTCATTTTCTTTGTGCCAATAGCCGGCTCGGCATACCATCTGATTTCTTCTGGTGTTTATTTTTCGATGGGAAAGACAAATGTGGCAAAACAAAGATTGATTAATGGAGTTGCCGGGGCTGCTATGGATTTTGCAATTGTTGTTGCTCTCCGAGATGGTATAACTGCTGGAATGGAAGTTTCTAAAAGTTTGTTGAAAGGTGATGAGAGTAATCGTAGTAATCGTGCGACACAAAATTTATTTTTTAAAAATATGACGAAAGTTGTTGCACAAATTGCATTTAAGGGATTTGCAAGGAAATACACTTGATTCTTTAAATTTACTTTACCTTGTTATTCAGCTATGATAAATAAATTTTGCACTTCACAATAACTGTTTTAAACTAAATTATACACAAAAATATTTAATTCACTTTGTAAATTTTTGCTGGTAATTACTTAATATGCTCGAATTTTTTTATTTTATTTGATTTTAACTCATTCATGTAACGTATTTAGGCAGCTACTAAATTTGTTGAATAGATTATGTTTTATTCTTAAAAGGGATCCTTAATGAATAATAATTTCCAGTTGTCTTTATTTTTTTTTTTCTCGTGAGAATTTTTCGAGCGTAAACTATATTGGTCCGAAAATATGTATAAATCGGTTAGCAATATTGTATTTAAAAGATTTTGTTTCCTAAATCTCAGTCTCTCTCACTCGTCTTCGAATAACTTTAAGCGAAAACTCAGGCATCCACATCTGGAAGATATTTGTAATATTTACAACATAACTAATATGTCGAATATGAGTGAACAACATAGTATCCTCCTTTTTGGACTAACCGGGCATGGAAAGTCGTCTATTGCTAACATGCTGATTCAAGGTGACATACATCATGACGTCAATAAGTTTGTAATTAATAACGCTGCGGTTGGCGAGAGTTTTCAGATAGAATGTAGCATTAATGATGAATTTATAGTTTACGATACGGTTGGAATAGGTGAACCAGAAACTGGAAAAGTTCCGCATAAGAAGGCTGTCAAAATGATAAGAGATTATTTTACTACTTGTCAATTGCCGTTAAATTACATAGCCTTCGTTAAAAAGAAAGGTAGATGTACAGAAGAAGAATGTAAAATGTTCAAATTATTTAAAGAGATATTTGAAGGGAGTGAAAATAATTTCATCATCATTATCACTCATAGTGGTCGGTGAGAACTCGGTAACTATAAAGCAAAATTTTGGAAATTATCCGATCATTCCAGCCAACTTTCCTCGTTGTGAAGAAGACGATGATGATGATGATGATCTGCGAAATAAAAGAGCACAAAGTTATATACATCTTACTGAAAGTATTCGGGTTTTACCTTGCGAGGCTATTAACCTTCAGGTTCTTAGCTCGAACCAGGTGATCGAGAATAAAGTTTCAAAGATCATTGACATCGTATCAGTAGCTGGCGCGACATACCAACTGATTTCTTCTGGAGTATACTATAGAATTGGAAAGCAAAGGTTGGCAAAAAAACGACTTATAAAGGGAGTTATCATGACTGCCATGATTGTTGTTGGCAATGAAATAGTAACTAAAGTTGGCAATGAAGTTGTTAAGGAAATAGTAACTAAAGTTGGTTTAGCTTGTGCAAGTTCCGTTTAGGTAACTAGTGACAAGTTCCGGTAAGGTAGTAACTAATGTTGCCGATGTAAGCGCTAGTAATATAGTTAGGAAAGTCTGTTCGACCTTTTTAAATAACAAGATGGTGTTAGTGATAGTCTAGTTATGACGCATTGATACTGCGCCAATTATAATTAGCGAATGATGATCCTGATGGATCTCAACTTTCTCTAATTTCAATGATTTCTATCATTTCTCTAATTTCTTAGCGATCTTAGCGATCTATAATTTCTTATATATCTTTAATTTCTTATTT